GTAGAAAAACTCATCTTTCTCCCGTGGAGCAGCTGGTAGTTTCGAACCACTGACCTTAAGGTTCACAGCCCAATTCGTAACCACTACACTACCAGAGCTATATACAAGATGTAAGGAGCCCTGGTAGCATAGTGGGCTACTTGTTTGGCTACAAACTGTGAGGTCAACAGTTCAAATTCACCAGCTGCTCCTCAGGAGAAAGATGAGAGTTTCTGTTACTCTAAAGATTTAAAGCCTTGGAAATCTTATAAAGGGCGGTTGTGAGTCAGAACTGACTAGAGGGTACACAGCAGGAGCATTAGTGTACAGTACATAGCAATAACGTGTTTGTGTTTGTAAGTTTGTGTATTTCACCTTGTCAACATTCTGAACCAAAGAGTAACTGAGATTTATATTGCTGTTGTGAAGTGTCATTGAGTGGGTTCTGACTCATAGTTTGCTAATAATGCAGGTGATGTACATTGACAATGTTCTTTACACCTTGCCATCTAGTGAAGTATTCCTTCAATGTTCTTTTTAAATTAATTTAGCTACTACATCCTTAAAAGCAGAATAATTTCATACCACTATGATTAGAGATTTACACTGAACTGCATCATATATAATCCAATCATTGATAAGTACTGTCGAGGGTCAGTTCAGTCCAGTCATAGAGGAACTCAATTTCCAGAAACTTGAACTTGTCTGATTATCTTTCTTTTCTTTTTAAAAATTAATATTCTAATCATTTTTATTGCATTCCCAGACACCAAAGTTAACACATGCCTACCCTCGTTTGTTTTTATTGCTAAGTACCGTAGAGTTAGTTTGAATCATAGCAACCTTGTGTAGACTTTCTGAGGACTGGCTGGTTGGTTTGAATTACTGACTTTGTGGTTAGCAATCAAGTGCTTATCCTACAGTGCTACACCAGGGCTCCCTTTAGTCAGTGAATAATTTCCCCCTTCATCCCAACCATGGTAACAATCATAGATGGTTTCTCTTAGCATTAAAAGATTTTCTTGGGATTTTACTATAGTGGTCTCATAATATTTATCCTTTTGTGATTAACTAATTTTACTCAGCAAAATGTCCAGGTTCATCCATGTTGTGAGGTGTTTCTTTGATTTGTCATTATTCTTCAACTTTGTGTATGTATCAAAGTTTGTTTAACCATTTTTCTGTTGATGAGCATTTAGGTTGCCTCCAACTTTAGAGTCCCACCAGCAGTGTAGCAAGGCCCCAGACTCTCCACGTTCTCACCAACATTTGTTATTTCCTGTTTATTTGAACTTTTCTATCAAGGCTGGGTTGAGACGTTATTTCATTGTTGTTTGATTTGCATCTCTTTAATGGCTAATGATCACAAGAATTTCTTCATGTTTGTTGGTGTCTTTTGTGTTGAAGTGTCTGTTCATGTCCTCTACCAATTTTTTAATTGAATTGTATTCTTCTTCTATTTTTTTTTTAACTTTTTATTTTGAATTGCATGATGGACTATAGGCAAGATCATCAGTTTTACATTCAACAAATCCTATACTTTGTTTTATCTCAATGATTGCATTTTCCTCCATGCACCAACAGTTATCCTAATTTCTCCCTGTGGTTGATATTTCCATTCTACCCACCTAACCATCCCTTCTCAATTTTATCCTTATGTAAATGCTGCCCTTTTGATTTTGAATGATTGACCATTC